GGTGTTGCAACCTAGAAGACACAAATTTAACTAACAAGTTAAAAGTACATGAGTCAAAAATTAACAAGCAATAATATTCCTATTAGAGGTTCTAGTAGTGGCACAAATCAAGTTACAGAGGGAAGGTGATTCTTAAAATAAATATTCTGTGCTTTTAATATAGGTTCAAACTCAGATACAGTAATGGTGATTACAAACACACATACTTCCTTTTCTCATAGAATCAATAATAATTTTACAGAGGTAATTCTTGATTTATGTATCTCTCATGCTTTGACAGCCAGGTTGAGTTGAAGTAGAAGGATAATTTTATCCTTTTGGAGATTTAATTTCAGGGAGACATTAATTAATCTCTTATGTAATTTAACAGTTGAGTCTACCTTTATCTCGTATATCTCCTTAACTGTTTTGATGACATTCCTAACCAATCCTTTGGACTGTAACCTTTTATTATATCTTTGATATCATCCTGTCTTGGCATAGTTGTGCTTTAATTAGTTTATCTATATTTCACAGAGAAATGCATATCTTTTCAGATAGTCTTTGTAAATAATGCTGGATGAACATTTGAAGTACTAGGCAGATTCTCTTGTTATCATTTCAGTTAATAAATGGAGGTGAAGATGTGCTGATATTTTACAATGATCGAGCATCATTTCCCATCCTTCTCCATATGATGTGTTCAGAAAGGGACCGAGGTGATGAGAGTGGCCCCTTAGCCTACCATGTTACACTTGTGGAATTGCTGGCAGCATGCACAGAGGGGAAAAATGTCTACACAGAAATCAAGTGCAATTCCCTTCTGCCCCTGGATGACATAGTCAGGGTGGTGACCCATGATGACTGCATACCTGAGGTATGTCTGCGAAGAGCTTAGCAGCTGTAAAGTCATTATTTTTTTGTTAAAGTTCCTAAGGTACAGAAATTAAGCTGGCTGACATTTATGATGAAAGAGTATATTTAGTCAAGGAATTGTATTTGGCTGTATACTTAGAAAATTTGGAGTGTTATGAAAATGCTTGTTTGGATTCTACGTGAAGCTATGAAAGAGAACATTTTAAACATCTAGCCACTACAGGCTTACTGGAAGCTGCTAGATAAGACTCCTAAATCCTTAGCAAGCATGACAGTGTGATAAGACTAAAAAGTTTACTTGTAATCTCTAGCATGTTTTGTGAGCATAAAATAGAAGCTTCATAAGTAATTGATGGACATTGATTTGGAGAGGCTAAGATAGTTCATCAAGACTATCTATATTAGTCTCTACAGGTATGCCTTGCTTTATGAAATACTATATATTCTTAAGTCTGTGACCATATTACGTTGCTTCATTCATACATCTCCCTGCCCTGGTTCAGCTCTATCATTAGACAGAACTCAGTTGAACCTACTGGTTGTCTGCCAATAAGCTTCTATTAAGGAGGTTTCCAGGAATGTATATTACAATCATTTCTGTCTTTTGTACTGTTGTGGTGCATTGTTGCAAAGTTAAAAAATATGTATGATACACCATGTAGAGCATAAAGCCAAACTTATAAAATGAAAGTATATTTAAAGGGTCAAATTCATGATGGACTTTTATTTTTGTGCCATTTTATGGACTTTGACATTTTAAACTGTGAGTGACTTATGTCATAGAGGAGTTTAGTATAGGGTAGCACATGGAGGAATTTGAATGGAGTGATTATATTCAATATTTCTGTGCTTATTTCAGACCTTTGTTATCCATGTTTTTATCACATGTGGGTTCCTTGAATTTCTCCTCTTATTAACTCAATCCTTTTCATCCTTCCAAAGCTGATTTCATGTTTACATCTTTAGAGATGTCCCTGACGTCTAAAGGAAACGATAATTTGAAATACAGAATTTTATTTTATAATTATGGCTATAAGCCCTTAGCTGTGTCTTAAAGATTATTAGTTCTTTAAGGGTAAGATAGATTTGGTTTTCATTCACCATTATATTGTTTGAGACAGAGAATGAATAGGAATCTTGAATCATAACTTCCTAGTTTTGTGACTCCAGTGTGTTATAGTACCTTTCTAAGCTTCAGTTTCCATGAATTTAAAGAGTTATACCTGATGCCACACAAGGTCATGTGAGTGTTTGCAGTTATTAAAGACTGTCCAAGTGATGATGGTGATACAGTGAATGACTCAGGCGTTTCCCTAACCTGTGATCAGGTACACCTACCTTAACTTTGGGGTTGTTATGTGCTGTCAAGCTGCTTGCAACTCATAGTGACCCTATGTACAACAGCTCTGAACCCTGCTCTATCGTGAGATAATTTCATTGTCCCTGACACACTTCCTCCCCTCACCCCCAGTCACCGAGTCAGTCCATCACATCTGAGGTCTTCCTCTCGTGCTGTTCCTCACCCCTAACGAGTGTGATGTCCTTCTCCAAGGATTGGTCCTTAGAGATCTTCTTTTCCTGTGAGCAAAACAGAAGGAAGCCCTATGCAGTATCACCTCACTTAGACATTTAAGTTGGTTTCCATGAATCTTGTGAAAATATTGTTATCATTGTCATATAAATATAAATATATATATATATATATATATATATATATATATATATATATATATATCATATTGCTCTAAGGCTAGAATCTTGACATAACTAAAAACTTAAATAAACCACTAGTTACTGCTTTATGTACAGTGACTATGGTATATGTTGGTGAGACTCAATTATGCAACTTAATAAGGAATTTTGTTAAATCTGGGTCTTGCTCAGAGTTTAATTCATCAAAAATAAATTTTTCTTTACATATGGTTTTCTTAAGTATTTTTGATTAGTTAGAAATATTATTTGTCTAACATACTTAAACATCATATTAGGATTCTCATGATTGCAAGTTACAAAAACCCATCTTACACTAGCATTAGATATAAAAGGGAAGTTGAAGGAGACTTATTAAAATAAATTCAGCAGTACAAACCGTGTTAGAATTCTTTCCATCTATTTTCGCTTATCTTTCGGTGTTTTTGATTTAATCTTCTCTTTGAGGATAATTTTCCTCCACATACATGTGGGAAAGACAATGGCTTCCTGAAATCCAGGTTTCTCTTGTTCTAATTTAGCAGCACAAATTAGAACAAAGGGAGAGAGCATTGTTGATTTCTAGTTTTCAGGCACAGTAAGCCAGGCTTGAATCAAGTGTTTGTTCCTATAGTAATCACTAAGCCTGGAGATCATATACTCACCTTGGTACAGAGGGGAATGCCTTTGGAAAATAAAGGAAATTGGAATTTAACTAAGCAAAATAAATAACCGTAAAAACCCAGATTAACTGTAATCTACTATAGGCATTTTTATCATTGATATTTAAAAATAGCTACTTGAAAATAATTTTCATTTATATTTGAAATTTGTACAGGTTAAAATTGCTTATGTGAATTTTGTTAATCACTGTTACGTTGACACCGAAGTGGAAATGAAAGAAATCTACACTAGTAATCACATTTGGAAATTATTTGAGAACTTCCTGGTAGATATGGCAAGAGTAAGTATTTTGGTCCATTAAATACTTTTTTGTGTTTAGTAAGGTAGTTGAACTATCAGCATATATTTTGATTAAGCAATAAACATCTGGATGATATTGTGACTAACCATATAAGCAAAATATAGGTTTGATAGCAGTAAGTTTCAGTGTTCATTTTCACCCTTACTACTTAACTTTGTTGTGAAACGGAATTTTACTGGCTGGTTTCTATCGACTCTTTTCAGACTCAGCTGACCCTCCAGTGGTTTGAGGGGGCGGTGAGTTGCCCAGGAGGTGAGTTGCACACAGTGCTCTCTGATGGAGCAGCTGGTAGATTTGAACTGCCAGCGAGATGTAGCCTTTGGGTTAGCAGCTCAGCTCTCTATAGACTGTGACATCAGAGCTCCCTAGATAAGGCACAGCCGAGATCAGTTTGTTTAGCATCTTACTATGAATGCAATTATGTTTTACCACGAATACATTTACAAAGCCCTGGTGGTAGTTCACAGAAACTATTTTAGTAAGCCCGCCAAAACACAGTGCATCTTTGCTGTTTGAATCCACAAGCAGCTCTGCAGGGGCAGAGGAGCAGCTGACTGGAGGGCCAGATACGAGTCATTTCTGAACTTGACAATGAGTCTTGAATATTTTTTGCAATGAGGAAGGTCTCAGACTCGACTGATGTTTCAGGCAGTTAACTGTTCAGAACTTAGTATTGTGTATTGTTGCCTGTTCAATCTCCATGGAAGAGTACTATAGCAGTTTATATCTGGTGTTGACTCATGTCAGGCCCTTTCTTTCTCTCATTTATGTGTAGATACATTGCTTTTTTAAGTCCGTTTCCTCATTTTTGTTTGTTTAATGGTGGTGGGTTAGAGAGTTCATGGAGATGTAGATCTTGTTCATATTTTCTGGGTACTACCTGGCATATGCTATTATTTCATTCATGTTGTTGTTGTTGTTAAGTGCCGTCGAGTCGCAGGCGACGCATAGCGACCCTATTTAGTAAAAAAATTGAATAAATTATTATCTTAGTAGCACTTAAATTAATATTTTAGTATCTTTGACTCTTTTTTTGCATAATAGTTTTCATCTGTGTATTTGTTTGCCTATAATGTTATGGAGGTGGGTTTTTAAAAAATTTTGCTTTGCTTTGTTATGAATCTCCTTAATTTTTTCCTTGGAGAGTTTTAAGATAGACTTTTCAGTTGGCTTTACTTTAAAGAAGATAGTGTTTAGATAATGTGTTAGACCTAATTTGAAATACAATGACTTGCCTCATTCTCTTTGGACTTCCTGTATGTTTTGAATGCAGGTGGTTTTATTTAAGTATCATATGAATGTACTGAGTGATGTCTGTATTTCCACAATCTTACAAGATGGATGCTGGCCACTTGTCATTAACTAAAAAAAATGACGTCTAACAACAAAGGCAGCCACCCTTTTACCCATCTAGAATGCGAGAACAAAGTGGATCTAGTATAACATCGACTGTAAACCTAGATATCTGAGCTTAAATTTCAAATTGTGAATTTCAGACGAAGAACTCTATTTTTTTCAGGATTTCTTTGTAATGGGTTTTTGTTTGTTTGTTTTGATTTTGGTGTCATGAGTGAGAACTTTGCATTAAAATATGTATGAATTAAAACAAAAAATACAAACCCATTGCTCTTGAGTCATGGTTCATGTCCATTAAGTTTATGCCATTCCTCCATAATTATTTCTGTGTTAACCTTTCCTAACCTCCATTAGTCTGTAAATATTAATGAAACCAAATTATTTCATCTTTCTTTCGTGCAACTTCAAGTATCTTTGAACTCCCTACCTTTTTGTTAACAATACATTATGACACACTGTGCCACCTATTTGCATCATTTCTACAAAATTAAAACTACTTATTTATCTTTATAAAATTTCTCAGGTAATCTGTGTCTGTGTAGAAATCAGCTGCTTTTTTTCCTTCCCATTTTTAATAGGACTTTGTATTCTACTCATATATACTCCATTGACCTTTTTAAATCCTTGTATCTAAAACCATCTCCAAGTATGTCCTGGGACCTTGAAGTTTTGGATGACTTATATGCCAGTGACTGAGCTTTAAAATTGCACGTGCAGGACAATTTTAAAGAGATTATACACTGATTTCCAGAGCTGCACATTGCTAGAGATAAAAGATAAGCTTGAAAAAGACCAAGGTCACTTTCTAGGTAGCTTGACTCTAACTCTAAGAAATTTTTTTTTAATAAACCAAAAAGAGAAGATGATAACTCTCACTGATGTGGAACTAGTTTTTACTTTTGTTCTTTTTTTTCCTTTCTCTTATTTTTCTTAGTTTTTACTTTTGTAAGCAGTGCATATATAACAAAGATAAACACATGTATATCTTTTCTTAAAAAGTAAAGTTTATGAAAAAATAAAAAATATGCGTGTGGTGAATATTTGAATTAGGTACAAATTTATCTTGTTAATTAAGTATAGATGCTGGAAAAGCTCAGCATCTTCTTGATATATAATCACTTAATATGTTTGCCTACAACAATGTATATTACCAATATGTTTTCTCTTTCTGTCATATTTCTTTTCTATTTAATATATTAAAGAAGCAGTTCTCTAATCTTCACCATGGTTTATAGGGGATTATTTTTGCTATTTCAAGGAAGAAAAAGGAAACCTGACCTTTTCTTGTTTGGTATTTCCTCTCCCCCTCCACCAAAGGAAAATTAAGGAAATAGTACAAACATTAAAATTCAAGTAATAACAAAATACAGCTCAATAAGTAGAATGTGGTCTTCAAAACAGATGTTTAAGTCATAATGAATTGTGTAAGCATAAAACACATGGTCTGTAGAGTCAGCGTTCTCAAATTTTAGTGCCCATTAGAATTATCTGCTGGATTGAGTAAAGTGGATATCTGAGCTCCACCTCAGAGTTGTCATTTGAGTAGATTTGAGAAGGTCACAATTTTGTGTTGCTAACAAGGTCATAGCTGAAGCTGTTGGTCTAAGGATCACACTTGATTATATGATTAATAATTATAGTAGCGCATGGTGGATAAGAGTATAGGTTTCAGAGGTGTTGGCCTGGACAGAGTTCAGGTACACATTCTGCATCTTATTTGTTCTGTTATTTCATACTATATAATTGGCTCCTATGTCCCTGGATTTTATCATTTGTAAAATGAGCATAATAATAGCATATTCTTCAGAGTTTCTGGGAAGAGACAAAGAGATTATGAACATAAAACTTTTAATATGGGACAAGCATTAAGAAATGATAGCTTTTAGACTATTCTCTCCCCCATAGACTTCAATGCCGTAAACATATTTCATCCAGTTTTTCTCAGTCTTAAAGTATTATATTTTAGGGCATTATTTTTATCGTAGGAGTATGCAATGAGGGTTGCAGAGTGGATTATATTTGGGGGTAGGGGGTGGGGTTT